CCCGGCCCCGTTCCGCTCCGCGCCCGCCCGCCCATGGTGCTGCCCGCGTCGGCCGGCATGTCGCGCTCCGACGAGGTGCACCGGCTCACGGAGAACGTGTACAAGGTGAGCCGCAACAGGTGCCTTGGCGGCAGCTTCTCCGGGGGGACAGGGCCGCGGGGGAGTCGCTCCCCTCCGGGCTCGTGCCCCCTTCGCCGCCCCTGCCCGGGCTCAGCTTTGCGTAGCGCTTTTCCCGTCGGCATCGCCCTGCCGTGCTCTCCGCTGTCGGGCTGGGCAGTCCCGTCGGGCCGGGTCCTTCAGGGCGGCTTTTCAGGCTTCCCTCCACTTCGAGCCGGCTCCGGGAGCCGAGCTGGCCGCAGGGACGGGCAGAGCTCGCCTTTACGGAGCGGTGCTGGCTCACGGCCACCGAGTAAAATCTCCCAGCCCTTCGCCAAGCAACAGTTTTTTAATTGTTTCCAACAATTATGGACCTTCCTGTGTGGGAACGTGTGCTGAAACCGTCTCACGGCTGCCCCGGAGACGGGCTCCGGTGCGGGCTGGCATGGGCTGCAGGGGAGGCGGAGGACCGCGCACGCCGGGGAAGCTAGTTCTGTAGTTGGGAGCGGTAGAGACAGGCTGTTTATCCCCCACTCTCCTTCCTCGCCAGTCTGATGCTGCTGCACCGATGCATTTGGGATTAAAGAACATTTTAGTTGGCGGGAAGGACTTGGAGCAAGGGCCCCATGCTAGTTGGGTGCCTGCATGTAGTTAGGAGGGCGCTGCCAGGTAGCACCGGGCCCGCGACTCGGGGGTCTGCAAATTCGGGGAGTTTCCGCGACGTTTCTCTTTTCTGGGTCTCGCCATGGAAGTGTTTCTCCCGGGTGGGAAGGAGGGCGGAGGCAGCGAGTAGTTGGAGTCCTGTGACCGACTCTACGAAATGTCTCCCAGCCGGGATGTAGGGTGGGCTGCCGTGCGCTCAGCCCCAGCTCTTGCACCGTTGCCTGCCTTGCAAACAGCCAGGGATGGCAGTGATTTGTGAGCAAAATGGTGGGAGGGAAATGATTAGGCCCAGGAGCCTCCAAGACCCTGGAGCAAACCTTTTCCTTGTGAGCCCGGCGGGGTTCAGGGCCACTCAATGCAGCGGTTTTCGCCAGGGCGAGGAACTCGAACCCCCTCCTTGTCTGGGGTGAATGCAGAGCGCGCCTGAGGCTTCCCGGCAATGGGAGTGTGGGCTCATTTGGTGGTGACAGGATCGGTGTTGCAGGTGTCCCCCGGACTCCATTTTGCCGAATTCAAGCGCCTGTTGCTTCTCCTTAGGCCTGGGTCATACAGGCGCACGGCACTTTTCCCCGTTAGCACGGCGCCGTTGCCCATTGCGCAGCATGAAAGCACCCTTGTTCCCCGAGATGGGAGTGTCGTGCTAATCAGCCGGCCGGGTTGTATATGCTTAAGCTGTACAAACAGAGGGACAATAGCTGCTGGGACAAGTCAACTCGGCTGGCCGGCCTTTAAAATGGGCTGATTGGTACCGGTCAGTCTCCGTGCAGCTTCGGCTGGTGACTCAGTGGCTGTTGTCTTTGGAGCGCCGGGCTAATAGCATGTTTGCCGTGCAGGTAACAATTTCTCTGGGAACCTGTGCTCAGCCCTGTAATGAACTTCCTGAGAGGCATGTTTGCCGTGACCACGTGATAGCCTGGCCCTGTTTGCTTTGGCACTTGCAAAACCCAACTTCATTTTAAGCTGCGTGTGTGCCCAGGCCAGGAGGGAGGTAGCAGGGAGGGGTTAGCTTTTGAGCACCACCCAGCACGGCTTCAGCTATTGATTTCCTTGAGAAGGAAAGCGTGAATGTTGGCGTGGCCTCCCCAGCGCTGGTGCTGGGCCCGGGTGGTTCCCCGGCTCCTGTGTTGTGTGAGCAGGCGGGCTGGGGACTGGAAGGGAGCACTGGGCATGGGAGTGCTGTTTTGTGGCTGGAAGGCAGCTCCCGTCGCCTTTCCAGCCCGACCCGGGTGGGTTCATGCCCAGTCCTCTCTTGGCCTGAGAAGAGCCGTGATGCTTCCAGAGGTGCCTCCACGGCGCGTTGACTCTGAAGCTTGAGTTGGCCAGTTTGATACCAGTGCAATTAACTGGTTTGCTGCCCATCGTGTTAGTGGACAAAACCCCATGGCGGACAGTGGTGCCATGTCTCACGATCCCCAAAGCGAGATCTGGGACCCCGTCTGAGGGTTTAGGACTGTTCCAGCTACTTGGGGATGAAGGGGGCTCACAGGCGGAGGGTGTGCAGATGTGGGGCTGGGATGAAGGGAGCGCATCACTCTTGCAGATGGGATTAACTTTTACCTTCCTGGCGAGTAAGGCTCGCTTTGTCCTTTATGAAGACAAGTCTCCTCTCGCCTCGTGGCGACGGGGAGCTGGGAGGACATGCCTGGGACCCTCGTGGGAGTCGGACATTTGTTGGCCCCTCTGAGCAAACTTTTCAAAGAAACTAGCTAAGAAACGTGATGAGGGGCCCCCCCAAGCCGTTGGGATTGCGGCCGAGCTGTTTGAGTGAAAGCTGGGCGTGCTGCTGAGGAGGAGAGCCATGTGTTGGCGTGGCGGAAATGACGCCGTTTCCCTGCTGCACGTTTCTCATTTCTCATCCCCTAAGCTAGCACTGGCACTAGGGTTCATGTCACCCGTCCTGGTGAAGCCCCCTTATAACAACCATAATCCAGCCATCCTCGCCGAGCGCAAAGCGCAGCTGAAGCCCTGGGACAGCCGCATGCCTCATCTTGAACAACCCCGTTGTTTCTGCCTTCCTTGCTGAAAACCTGCTAGCGTTTGTAGGCAGCGTGGGCTCCCTAAAGCTGCCTAAGCACCAGGGTTTCATAGGTGAGAGGAAGAGCATCTCACAAGCTGGTCTTGACTCTTTGCTGAAGCACCATGGGGCCGCTGGCTCTGCTGGGCTTTCTGCAGTACCCAGAATGTGGCTTTGGGAGGCTGGGGAGGAGGGAAACCATCCGGAGCAAATGGAGAATTTTGGGTCTTTTGCCATCCCTGTGCAGCGAGCAAACTGCAAACCTCTGTGTCCAGGACAGGGAAGGGACTCCCCTTTTGTGCTCAAAGGCTGAGAGAGAGACAATTTGGCCCCCACCCCATCCAGCCATCAGTGCCATCTTGCTGCTGGCCCAGCTGGAGCTGGTTGGCGCTGCCACCCTGATGCCTTCCCCCCTCCACTTTGAGGTCCGGGGCTGGCATTCATTTCTTGTGTCAAGTGAACCCCTGCCCTCTGCCCTGCGCCCAGCCTTTTCCCCCGGCATGCTGATTAGGAAGACCCTCCGTAACGATTTCCCAGAGCCAGTGCTCGCCTTCCCAATGATTGCACTAATGAGATGGTGGAGGAGCTGTCAGCCTCCCCCTCGCCAATGCTGCCACTACAATCAGCTGCCTACACATGTGTAGTAATTACAGAGAGAGCTGGAGGAAGCTGGCACCTTCCACCAACGTAATCCCACTTCCCCCGTGCTGATTCATCTGTGCGGACCCCATTGCAACCACACAGCTGCTGCCCTGGCTGGGAGCAGAGCCCCACTGCAAGGAAGAGGGGACGTGGGAAACTTCACACCTGCCAGGTGAAAGGGGTGAGCTCTGCTCAGGTCTCGGCTTCACGGAAACCAGGGACGAAAAGCACTTATTCGGTGCTGAGTAGCCGGCAGGGAGTTTGTGTTTGGAGAAAGTAAGAGAGATCGACTAGCGACTGTTTTTCTTCCCCTGAAGACAAGGCTGTATCCAGCGGTGATGGATGGCATTACTGGAAGCCGCAGTCCAGTTTCCATTTAATTTTAAAATGATCTCTTCAGATGGCAGGGCGGTTTTTTTTGTGAGGGTTTATGAAAGGATCCACGTCGAAGAAGGATTCTAAAAAAAAATCTAATTGTCTTGAGTGAATGGAGGCATAATTCCTGATAGTCATTTGCTACACATCAGAAGTAATAAATGTCATTGCTAGCATAACAGCCTATTGCCTCATTATCTCTGAGTCCAGAGGGAAGGGGCGAGATTCTCATTCAAGTGAATCAGAGGGGAAATAGGGGGGAGGGATGGACATGTGGGCTGGCAGGGGAAGGAAGCTTCACCCCAGCAGCCATCCAACACCACCTCGTGTTTCATGCATTGTGCTGTCCTCCCTGGCTGAGAGAATTTGCGTTGCAAGAAGCAGTAGGCAAATAGAGAAGCTATCGATGAAAGCCACCTCTGTGCTTCCTGCTAACCTCAGGCCTGTGCATTTGCATGCTTGTCAGCACATGGTACCGAGCTGTGCCGTGGCATCACCGCGTGGCTAGGATTAGCAAGCTGCCATCGTGCACGGGTCCCATCGGCTGCATGGCCAGTATCCCAGCATCCAGGGCTGGCATGCTGAGATGCACAGCGCCACGGCTCACGTGGCTGCCCTGTGCCCGCGTTGCAAGGGGCTGTGGGGCAGCTGCTGAGAAGAGGAGCTGCCCCAGGGCACGTGGTGAGCTCTTAGGATCGTGGGAGGAAATAGCCTGGCCCTGCAGGATTCGTTTCCTGACAGCCCCGGGGATGTGGCAGTGGCAGCGTGCTCCTTTGTGCCAGGGCTGAGGGCTGCCGGTTTCAGTGAAGATGGTATTTCTTATTCATGTCTTGCATAAGTGGCTGCCAGCAGCAGAGGTGTCGGAAACTGTTTTCCGGCCAGAGGAGATGGAGATAGCGGCTTGGAGCGATGCCGCAGTAGCGAGGGAAGAGGCGCGTGGAGACATGAACCATGCTGATGCTGGCTTGAATACCAGATGGCATGTGGGCAAGCTGGGCCAGGAGCTTTCGGACGTGCTGTTGGCCTTGCATCGTGCGGGGACGCAGACGGGGGCTGACCTGCGTGGGCTGAGACCTGTCGCGTGCAGCCTTGTGGATGCGCCAAGGAGCAGAGCCAGGACCTCGCTGGGGAGCGCCGCTCAGTCCCCTGCTCTCAAGCAGCTTTTTGAGAAACCTTAGCAGAGCCTGGGGCTTGTGCCGCTGAGGGCAGGGGGGCTCACTCGCCTCAGCCTTGCTCTGCTGAATTGTTGCTGCATCCCTGGGGCAGGGTGGCTGCACGTTGATTCGGAGGGCAGGAGGCTGCAATGGGGGCACCC